GGAGGAGGAGGAGGAGGAGGAGGAGGAGGAGGAGGAGGAGAACTGTGGGGTCCTTGGTGTTCGCTGAGCTTGGTTGTTATCTTGCAGACGTTTCATTACCCAACTAGGTAACATCATCAGTGCTAGAAGGTGGGATTTACAGATGAGGAGTAGGAGGAAGAGGAGGACTGTGGGGGTCTTTGGTGCTCTCTGAGCTGGGTGGTTTCCTTGCATACATCTCATAACCCAAACTAGGTGACCTCCTGGGAGCTAGTGAGGAGTGGCCTTTGCTCTCAGCTGATATTCCAGTGGCTTGCCCTAGATAAATAGTATACAATCTGACTCTCATCCAACTGAAGTGCAGCGTTTTCATTTTCTGATCACAACAACGAGCAAGATCCAAGTTGTTTAAGGGGATTTTAAAGATTCCATAGAGTTTTGCAAGGGGGTCGTCATCTTCAAAAGTTTTCCCGCTTTCCTGAAGATAACAAGGAAAGTAGCAAAGGCTGTTCTGAAGACTCAGATGTCACGTGACGACGATTGTGAGTCAATCAATCACTTAGGTTTATTTTGTGGTTCCTGTTGCCAAAGTGCAGTTCTTCTTGGCACGTTAACCTAAAACAATGAAAACCCCCATGTTTTGTATTGTTTCTTTTTTTCTTCTTCTTCTTCGTCTTCCAGGATTTCGTTATGGGTCTTTCAATTTTGCTCCGTGGGACCGTGCAGGAAAAACTCAACTGGGCTTTTAATTTGTATGATATAAACAAAGACGGCTATATAACAAAGGAGGTAAGGAATCCCACACAAAAGCCAACCATACACTCCGTTTTTCACATATGGATAAATCATGCTGTCTAGATTCAGAAATGTGGAACAAGATGTATATATGGGAACAATTCCATCTAGATTCTTGTTTTTAAAACAAAAAAACCCAAAAAACTCTGCTGCTCAGTTGGGCTTGTTCCTCCGCCTCTTTACTTTCCTACTTCGTCAAGGCGCTTACAGACAGTATCAAACATCAAAGCTGTTCCTAGATGGGATTAACTTTTTTCGGTGCGTTGCTAATTTTACGCATATATGCGGCAGTCATTATAGCAAATCTGCAAACAGGCGGTCTTGTTTGACAGATAAAACTGTAAGATTTATTTTATTTAAAAATTCTTATGCTCCCATGTCCCCTGCAATGTGACCCTGGGAGGCTTTGTTTAAATGTGTACTGTGCATGCATACACTTTGAGAGCAACAGTAAAAAATGTCAATAAAGGTCTATCATCTATCTATCTATCTATCTATCTATCTATCTAATCATCTGTCAATCTGTTATCTATATAATCTATCTATCAATCAAATCTATCATATATATCTAATCTATCATCTATATCTATATCATCTATCTATCTAATCTATCATCTATTTATCATCAATCTAATCTATCTTCTATCTATCATCTATTTATCTGTGTCTGTATCTATTAACTATCTATCAAATCTATCATCTATTTATCATCTATTTATCTATCAAATCTATCATCTATATCATCTATCTATATCTATCATCTATCTAATCTATCATCTATTTATCTATCAAATCTATCATCTATCATCTATATCATCTATCTATATCTATCATCTATCATCTATATCTATATCAAATCTATCATCTATATCATCTATCTATATCTATCATCTATCATCTATTTATCTATCTATCATCTATCATCTATATCATCTATCTATATCTATCATCTATCATCTATTTATCTATCAAATCTATCATCTATATCATCTATCTATATCTATCATCTATCTATCATCTATTTATCTATCTATCAAATCTATCATCTATCATCTATATCATCTATCTATATCTATCATCTATCTAATCTATCATCTATCATTGATCTAATCTATTTTCTATCTATCTCTACCTACCTACCTACCCACCCACCTTATCTCTCTCTCTCTCTCTCTCTCTCTCTCTCTCTCTCTCTCTCTCTCTCTATCTATCTATCTATCTTATATCTATTTATTTATCTGTGTCTCTATCTGTGTCTCTAGCTATCTGTGTCTCTATCCATCCATCCACCCACCCACCTCCCTCCCTCCCTCCGTCTATCCTATCTTTCCAAAATGTGGTGCTGATGGATTCTGCTATATTTTGTTTTACGGGCCTTCCTGCTTCAGAAAGGAATCACAGAATTGCCCGATCTTCAGAAGAGCCTCTGATCCAGACAGTCGTGACCTTTTTTTGTTATGACTTCTAATTCGCCCTCTTGACCATTTCTCAAGAGAGCAACGGAAAGGGCTCCAATGAGATGTTGGAGAAAGATGGCCTTCTAGATGACTAGAACAGGGGTCCTCAACCTTGGCAACTTTAAGACTTGTGGAATTCTGGGAGTCGAAGTCCACAAGTCTTAAAGTTGCCAAGGCTGAGGACCCCTGGACTAGAAGACCCCCAAGGTCCCTTCCAACTCTTGTTACTCTGTTCAGCGATCATTAGAACAGATCTAGGTTCTGTTAAACACAGAGGTCTGTTATCCTCAGATGTCACTGAATGGCTTTCAAACACACTTCCACCTTTGGGAACTGTGATCACACCGTTAAACCACCTTATTGCAGGATTTTGGAGAGCTCCAAAGAGGTCAGACATTTTCCATCACCACGATGTGTATTTTTCATCGGTTTAATATGTTTGTTTCTCGCCAGGAAATGCTCGATATAATGAAGGCCATCTATGACATGATGGGGAAATGCACCTATCCTGTTCTTCGAGACGATGCCCCGAGACAACACGTGGAAACATTTTTCCAGGTGGGGATTTGCCCAAATCCTGTAGGAAAACTCAGGAAAATCCCTTTAACGGTTTGTGTCCTGATGGTCATGACATTTGCTCTTATTATGCTATTTGTAAAGCCAAATCAGCTATTCATCTCCCAGGTCTATTTAGGTGTTTATTTATGAGTTTATTTATTTTATTATTTAAATTTAAAGGTACTTTCATGGAACCACTCTCGTGCTAGGCTTTATTTTCCTTAGACGTATTTGCAAATATTTCTAAAATAAGGAAACAAAATGAAGTAAAGTAAAATCCAAGAACGGACGCTAACTGTGGAACCAATCCATTCTCTTGTAGAGGAACCTTGGCATCCACAAATGGTCTTTAAAAAACAAAGCAGTAAACATCTGGAAGAAGAGTTTCTAATCCCTTATGCAACCTTTTTATTTCTGTCAGAAAATGGACAAGAACAAGGATGGGGTCGTTACCATAGATGAATTCATTGAAAGCTGCCAAAAAGTAAGTTTAACTGTGGGTGACTTGTAAGCCATGAGCAAGTGCTGGAGGCAGGCACAAACTCTGCTCTGCTCTGGACCGTTCCCAGCAAATGACAGTTCAAGCTGCTGATTGAAAATGCTAGGAAGGGACTCTCCCCCTTGTGTCACTTTGGAGTCACACACTGAATTAGCATTTTTAGCTTCTGAAGACTACCAGAAGGTTATGGGTGGGTGATGCAAGGGGTAACATCCAGAAAAAAATAGATGAAATTTATGCCCTGTGCCCTACGAACCTTAGCTCTGCTTTCTTGAGTTGAATAGAACTCCATAATTGGAATTTGCTATTTTGCTGCTCCATTTCAGAGATTCTTGGAGATCTTTCTGGGCCCAAGCATCTTTCTGGAATGCAAAGTGTCTGCCCGTTTTAGGCGACTCACTCCGCCATTTAAATATTTCTATTTTCGTTAGTACTGTCGATCAGCTGATACTTAAATATTACTCCAGATCCTGCTTGTTACCAAGTCCCATTTCTTAATTACAAGCACTACCATCTTAATGGGAAATAAGACATTCGAACGCACAAGTGAACATTCCCACCACTGGGGGAGCAGGCTGAAATTGCTTGCACGGCCCACTCTGGAGGGTCTGGTGGCCAGGCCGCCTTAATGCTCCTCTTGTATAGATGAAGGACGTGCACCTGTATCTCCAGAAATCGATAGGAGGCTTGATGAAGGGCTGCGGGGGCCATCAAAGGATGAACCTTGAATGATAGCCTGTGGTTCTGTGTTTCAGCTATGTTTGACTTTGGAAGATTACCTAGGTGAGATATAGCCGATTAGCTAGTTCAGTGGTTCGCAACCTTTTTAATGCCGCGACCCCAACCGGTCGTAAGTCGAGGACTAAACCGGTCGTAAGTCGAGGACTAAACTGGTCGTAAGTCGAGGACTACCCAACCGGTCGTAAGTCGAGGACTTTCCCTGCCCGGGAGCGCCGCGCATGCGTGGTTCCGCCCCCTGCGCCGGCCGAGGCGTAGCTGGCAAGCGGCAGAGACGGAGCAGGCCGACCACCAGCTGGCCCAGCCCAAGG